TAACAGATTTTAGTATTTCTAACTGTTCAATGTAATTTAAGCGTCTACCTTTTGTTTCTCTGTGTAGTAACTTAATTGAGTTTTCATTAATTTTGTGATTATTTACTATACAATGAGTTGCAAGACCAGAACTTTGCTGGAGATTATTAATAGACTTTACATGTTCTTTAATCCTTATATCTAAATTTCTACCTGTTTGGCCTATGTACACGGCATCACAATCATTGCAATCCACTCTATATACACCCGACTTATTTTTGACATTAGTTTTGTCTTTATTATTTAATAAAATTTGACCTAAATTTCTTTTATTTACGTTAATAATTTTACATCCTATTTTATTGAGATTATTTAATATTTTGTTAGTTAAATTAGGAATGTAGTTTAAAAGTCGATAATTGTTATTGTCTTTAGAATTAGCGGAATAAAATTTTTTCATTAATATTTTCTTTTGTTTTTTCTTTAGCATATTATCAATAAGGGAACACTTATATCCTTTGTTGATGGCGATTTGTTTAATAATATTTAACTCTTTTTTAAAATTCTCTGGGCTCAGTGGAAACATTACCAATCTATGAATTAAACTATGAAAGGGTGACATTTTGATTTGCCAGGATTGGTGGATTGACTATGTATTACAGTGTCTGTGGTAGTGAGTTTTCTGTAAATATCAAATTGTAATCTATTAGACTGTTTTATAATTGTAACATCAAGAAAATTAATGGTATTAATACCTTTTTCAATAGTAAATTGTATTCTCGGGTTAATTGAATTTAATAATGTTAAATAACTGTTTAAATTTCTCTCGGTGCCTGACCAAATACAACAAATGTCATCTACATATCTTGCCCAATAATTTATTTTTGATATTAAATTACTCTTGTTTTTAAATAGCTTCTTTTCAAAATTATAAAGGACAAAACTAATGTCAAAAATAAGTCGAGTGAATATAGGGTGGATTGCAATGATTGTGATGCCGTGTACATAGGCCAAACAGGTAGAAATTTAGATATAAGGATTAAAGAACATGTAAAGTCTATTAATAATCTCCAGCATAGTTCTGGTCTTGCAACTCATTGTATAGTAAATAATCACAAAATTAATGAAAACTCAATTAAGTTACTACACAGAGAAACAAAAGGTAGACGCTTAAATTACACTGAACAGTTAGAAATACTAAAATCTGTTAAAAACGAAAATAATGTTAACGACCAACAAGAATTTCTAAACACATTTTTTATTACCCCTATTGTAAACTCTCTGAACCCACCCCCATAGCAAATATATATATATAGTTACAGTGTAGTTAGACGATTAGTTCTTAAAAAACTCTTGAAAAAGGCCTAACAAGCCGAAACATATATGTACAGTTAAAGTTACTCTTATTAAAAGTTTTTTGAAACATCTAAAAGCGTGCTTTATTAAAATACTAATTTTTTGCTATTGCTAAAGTATTACATTTTCCGATAACTGTTATTACCATTTCCTTACCATTGAACTAAATAAATGTTGTGCTTCTTTAACATATTAAAACAACAAAAAATATGACGTTAATTAAAATTCAACTAATTACAATCTATCAAAAAATGAAAACGAAATTACATTATCATAGAAATGTGTTTTCATTTTTAGGATTAGGAAAAAATTCAACCATATTTTTATGCTTTTTTTTTAATTTTCTCTAAAACGGTATGAAAATTTGAAAAGGTATAAATGGAATTAACCATTTTGTAACAAGCAAATTTTTTTATGAAGAATGCATTTTTCTCAAAATGTCAATAATAAAAAAGTTTTTCCTCTTGTAAAGACAATCCGGGGACATACTGTATTATTACTTTCTTAGCAAGACATATATGTATATTATGTTATATTTAATTATTATAATCATTATTTTTTCTAGTATCTACTTGGCGTTTTCAGAATTACAACACTGATAAAATGGGTTTACTGGTCGACAGTGAAATTCCAGATTACGTTATAATTTTTAGGAAATAGAATCCCCGCTTTTGATATTCTTTGCAATTTAAAAATAATAACCAGCCACATGTTAGTACATTATAATATGGTTAATATATTTTAAGAATTAATTGTTTGGTATAAATTAGAATGCGATAAATTTAAGTTTTTGGATATTTCTGGATTTTTTTTGGAATTCCCGCATTTCCTACCGCTATATATTGTTTTTCGACGAAGCTTTTCAAAATTCGTAGACACGAAAACCTAGTTTAAAATTGTGTTTTCGCGTCAATTATTAGATGGTAACTAGGAATGAGATTTTTCAGATATATCGATAACTAGCTGTCATTTGACAGCTATCAATATATCGAATTATCGATAGTTAACGATGTATCGGAAAAATACTATCCTTAGTTACTATCTAATAATATTTCTATAACTTGTACTGAAATTTAGGGGTAACCTTTGACTAAAGCTTTGACTATACAGGGTGAGTTTCCTACGATGTCCTCTATTGGTATCTCGGAAACTACTGGAGATAGAGAGTCGAGAATGACTAAACTTTTTTATAAATCTGAAAGACGCATATTTATGACCCCACAAAACTGCAATTCTTTCCCCATTTAATCGACTCTCTATCTCCAGTAGTTTCCGAGATACCCATAGAGAACATCCTAGGAAACTCATCCTGTATAACCCCTTCAAATTTTTCAAAAAATGTTTTTTTTCAGGTTGCCCAATGACTACTTGCGACAAATAAAAACTTGTTAGCCCAACATTTTAAGAACTTTACAGTAGAGTTTTTTTTTCTTATATTTGACGCGGCATTTATTTTGTCTGTGGACATCGAGGGGTGTCTCTGTTGGAATTACATGCACATTTTCTTGGCAGGCGCTGGCAGTCATTGGCAATCATAGGCAGTTTTCTTCGCAGTCATTGTCAGGCGCTTGGCAGTAAAATTATTTTATTAAACTATTTTGGCAGTACGTGTACATTTTTTACCAGAGATACCCTTCGGGGGACAGTTAGACCACACAAAACGAGTTTTTTTTCGCTCAACTGTAAAATTTTCAAAATGCTAGTTACAACATTAGTGGCGCAGCTAGAAATTGATTGAAAATGATCTGGGACGGGTAGTGGCAATATTATAGTAAAGATCTATTGGATTAAATTAAATTTGCGTTGAATTGTTTTGTGACTGTGAAAAATATACAGGGGGTCAAAAAATAGTGTATCTAATAACTTCGGTGGGTGATTATACAGATAAAAATAAAACAAGAAGTTCCTATGAACATATGCCCTAAAATGCTTCCCGAAGAAACTACACCCCTCGAAAGGTTAAATAAAAATAATGTATATTTTTTTTATTTTCAAGAACATAGGTAAATTGTTTTCCTTAAAATTTGGTACCGTAAAATGGGGTGAATAGAAACATAGAGGTGAATAGAAACAAAATTTCTGAAAAAAATCAAATCACGATTAAAAATATTCAAAGTAAAAAGAGTCGACATATCTAATTTTTCTATCATTGGTAATACACAATAAAATGTAAAAACTATATTTTTATCTGTGGCAGCACTGTTTCTGTCAATCAGCTGATCAATAAATCTGAGATCGATTTATCACCTATTTTGTATGGCGCGAAAACTTTATCAATAAAATATTTATTTTTAAAGTAATACATAAGCTGGTACATGTAAGTGGTCATATTATATGTATTGTTAATTATTCTTAAACCTACTTAAATATGTAATAATTTACTGTTTCTATCACCCTGTTGGAAGTAGAATAGATAAAAACATTAACATCAATGTGTGTTTCTATTCTCCCGAATAGCAGGTGAATAGAAACACAAATGTTATTTTTATTTAATATTTATATGCATATTTTTCAAAAATCAAATTATATGTATACGCAAAGAACAAACAAAGACCCATGTTTTAAAATATTCGGGAAAATAATACCACATTTTTATCAACCGGTATATCGCTAATAGCCTACGAAACTGTTTCTATTCACCCCATTTTACGGTACTCTTACACACATTTTAATGACAAAGCGAATGGCAATTGTAAATCATTTCGTAACAGCCCTGAAAGGGTACTTTCCATTAGGGTAGAGAGTACTACTGGTGGTACTTCTTTTATTCTTACAGATACAGTAATTTCAATAAATGATATAAAAGGATAGAACATTTTTACGTAAAACAGGTGCTCTTCGTTTAGTTCGAAAAGGTGAACGGTTTTCAAGATATTTGCGTTTAAAGATTACGATGCATCGATTTTAGTATTAGTGAAATGATAAAATGTAAAGAAATAAAAATAAATTTATCTCCTGATTTCGCTAATGCTAAAATATTTTATTTTTATGTAACCTTCCGAGGGCTGTAATTTCTTCGGGAAGCATTTTAGGGCATACGAGTATGTTCATAGGAACTTTTGGTTTTCTTTTTATCTGTAGATCTTCCACCAAAGTTAGCTACACTATTTTTTTGACACCCTCTATATTTGGATTGGTCTGAATTTCCTATTTTGATTATTAAGAAGTATACTATTTGAAAACTATTTTAGTTATTAAAGAATTCAAATTTTATATTTATGTAAACGTGTTAAAATGCTTCCCTTCTTACTTCTTCAGGGCATAAAAGATTCTCTTTTCAAAAGAACTTTTCACATTAAGAAGCATATATTATGTGAACCATCTGGAACCATCCATTCTCTCATGTTGTCGACAGCAGTTAGTGAAGTTTTAAAAACTCTTTAGCATATTCCCATAAAAATCCAGATTATTTAATTCAGGAGCATTTGAGCATTAATATGTTTAGCCTCTATCTTCTTTGTTTTTAGTCCTTCCAGCCTCTCATCTTGCGCTTTAACGAGCAGTGTGGTACCTACCCAAGTTTTGGTGAAGAGGGGGGGGAGGGGGGTAGAGAACCAAAAGAGCGGCCGACTCTACGCGACAAGCCGACGTTTCGTCTCCTTGCGTGCCTCTCCTCTTCAGCTTCACGCCGGCTTTTTCGACGGCCCGTCCGCGAGCTTCGCTTATTAGTCGGTTGCGGTCGATCGGAGCAGTTGCTGGTCAGTCAGACGGTCATCCGCGGTGGATTGCGCGGTCGGAGGGCACGAGTCCGAGTCCGATTAGCGGATACTTTTCGGTAAAAGTGCGTGATAGTGATTTTCTGGCTTGATTTGAAGAGAAATATAAACAGAGAAGGGTTTTGTGGCGTGGAGGATGATGGGGATAAAAGGTGTCAGGTAAGTCAAGATATTTTGTGCCTACCATGACACTTTTTTTTAATTTTTTGGGAATTTTTTTATAATCTCTGGAAAATTCGAAAATATTATTTTTTATGTCAATTTTAAAAATTAATAAAAATAAAAAATTAATTTCTAATATCTTCGAAACTTTGAAAAATTCTTTAAATACAAAAAAATATTTATTTTTTTGATCCAATAATAAGAAAATGTAGTAGATACTTTAACAATTTTGGCGTTAATTTTTGAGCACCCTGTACAATTTATGACTACGATATTATTATTAACTGCAACAAATACCGAGCGTGGGTTTGATTTTGGGTTGTCAATTTTTATTTTTAATTATTTGTATAAAAAATGATGCAATATACAGGGTGAATTTTAAATGCAAATGTTTTCAAGGGCTTGTAGTTCTCGATTAAACTTATTTTCTTTTTACCGTTTTACCAACCCAATTAGTCCAGAATAGCGAGATATTTGCTTTTTATTTTTATTTTACAATTAAAAAAATTGTTGTAATTTTGCTAGTATTTGATTTTTTTCTGTGATTTCTTTCTTTTATATGGATATTTAATTTTTATTCAAAACTTGTTATCCGGGAACTATTAAAAGAAACTTAATAATAACCTAGGATTATGTAAAGTGATCAGGAAGGAACCCAATAATGCAATAACATACAGGGTGATGTTTAAGCCAGCTCACACTGTTGCAAAGAGTTTGATGATATTTGATAGTCTATAAAAATTAAATGTAATTTCGCATAAAAATTGTTTAAGTATATGTTATCATGCAAAGCACACCTAATGATAAGACTTTTTGATCAGTTGTAGTCATGTTGTGGAGCATTCAAAATATATTTGGTAAAAATACTGCCTATACTTGTAGGTAATTAAATTTGGTAACAATAATAATTAAATAACTTAAGAATGCAGTGTAAATTTTGAGATTTTCAATAGGTAAAATGGCGGTAAAAACATTAAATAATGGTTTATCTGTGGTCAAGGACAATAAATCGTTCAGTATAAAATCAGAACTGTTAAAAGAAATGCAGAGTATTGCAAAATAATGTATATCAATGAAGGATATATTACATATATGTGCATAAACATTGATAAATGTGAAAATAAAATTAAATGGATAAACACAAAACATTGATGAATCAATATTACCTACGGTTTTAAACGTTTTTTATAAATATCCAGTGTATACAGGGTGTTCCAATATTTTTGCAATCAAAATAAGTTCATGAGGTACAATTTACTTTTATACAAAAGTGCTTCGTTTGTTCGTTAGAGGACATCAAACAAAATAAATATATTTTGTATATAAATATATTTATAATATACTAGCGTGTATCCGCGACTTCGTTCGCGTCCAATTAATGGTGATGATAAAGCAAAGCAAGAATTTCCATTAACATACAAACTGGATAAAATTTTCTCACATTTATGTCAGCATGTGAAAAAACAATCGAGAAACCCCTCCTTATATTTTATAAAACACCCTTTGAGGGATAGTTTCACCCCCTTAGAATTCGAGTTTCGAAAAATCCCTTATTATCGAACCTCTACACCCTAAAGTCAATCCGTTTTCCAAAAATCATCTTTTTACGTCAAGCGCTTTAAGGAGGATCGTGATTAATCAATGACCAGATTTATCGAAACACCCTGTATACATTTTTAAAGAATTTTAAAATATGTAAAAAAACAAAATAAAATATACGTGTTTAAGCGTTTTTTCGGAAACTTGACCGTTTATTAAATAAAAAATATTGTAATATTTGAGGGGTGGTTTCACCCCCTTGGAACTGGAATTTCGGAAAATCCCTTCTTATCGAACCTCTACACCCTAGAATCAACCTGTATGCCAAAATTGAGCTTCTTACGTTGAGTGGTTTGAGCAGGATCGTGATTAATCAGTGAGTCAGTCACTTAAGGATTTTATATATTAGTATAGATATTAAGAACCCTGTATTTGGTATGCCTCTGTTTTTTTCAACGTTTCACTTTCACAAAAAAAACAAGAAAAAATACAGGAAGGGTGAAAAGTATCCTTACCCCTAAAATATTTTTTGTAGAAGTATTTTCCAACTCCGAAGACCATTGATTTTTTTTTTGGTAAAATGGTTCTTCTAGTATACACTACATTTTTTGTCTTCTGTAAAAAATACCACATACCATATATACCCAAAAAAGGCCTAATACATTTATTAATTTATTTAGGCATATCAGAATGAATTATAAGAAGTGCTTTTTTATTTTTCTCGAGATTTTTCTCTTAGAAACTATCGAATTTTTTATCATAATTTTTGTTTTTGAAATTTGCTTTATTAATAAAATACTAGTGGCAAAAAAACCAGAATTCATTTGAAGAAATTATTGTAATTATTCTAGCAGCTTTTCTATTAAAATTTTAAACTTGTAAAATATAATACCTACTAGCTGTATAAAAAATTTCATTATTTCTTAAACAAAGTGAGACTATTACACGTGAAAACTGCAAACTCAGTGAAAATGGTTGAAAATACATTCATACATAAATTTTCTCTCTTACTAAGTATATTTATAGCATTGTAACTGGATATGAGAGCTATTATAACGGCCTGTTCAAGTGTTCAATCACCTCATAAGTTTGTTTAAATTCGTATTGTATACAGATTGTAATTCCCCCAATCTCAGTGAGAGCGTAAATAAAAGTTCAATAATTACTGAAATTCTAGATGAACCGTTGGTGTTAAGAACATTGTTTTAAAAAGTAGGGCAGAAAATATAAATTCATTAGAAAAAAACTGAAAAACTGATTTTTATTTTTCTTAGTAGTATTGGGTTTGGTTCATTAAAACTACATTTAGAAATAAGAATATTGTGAAAAATGAAACAATAAAATTGGTTCTAAGTTTGCGAAGTTTTGTTTTGATTTTAGATTCAGTTTGATTATTTTTACATTCAGAAAGTTCAATCTTTTAAGAACATATTGTTCAAAAATATACAGGGAGTTTCAAATTCGGCTCTCACTCACCATTGGGATCTTGGAAACGGTAAGAGATATAAGGTGGCTCAAATTGGGACTAGTCTGCCTGTTGATGAGCCTAATGATAAGGTGTACCGTTAAAAAATCATCCCGATCACACTTTTTTGAGCCACTGTAGAAGTTAACATATTTTCTTGAAATACATCTTAGATCTTAAGTACACACTTTAGGTATGCAGACACACGCACTTTTGCCGGACCCTGTATATCAAAATGCTTCTTCTACATTCTTGGAAATAATTTAAAAATATATATTTATTTATAAAGATTTATGTATTGCCAAATTATTTCTTAATGACTCCCTAAAATCAACTCAAATCTTAAACAATGACATAGTCAGATTTTTAACACATTTCAAATTAACGTTTGATTCCTAGAAATGTTTATCTTATAATAATAATTTGTCTGTCATATTAAAGTGTATTTACTTATTATAACGTTTGCTTAAATATACAGGGTGACAATTTGAAAACGAACAGTATTTAATATTGCCTGTACCGATGATCAACTTTACATATGAAGGGGGACAATTTTTGAGGCATTTGTTGTCGTGTTACTTTCAACCCCTTGACCCCCAGGGCACCTAACCCTAAAATTTTAAATAGCAACCCCTATTTCTTTTACCATTTTTGTGTTTTTTATAGAATTCTACATAAACTGCATTATTTTTTTGAGAATTTTATAAGGAAACCTTGATGTGTAAATTGACATATTTCGCCGAATCTGCATACTATCATCGATAGAGGCTCGGGTAGAGGCATGGTACAAAGAATACAAGGTATGCTATTGCGCAGGTTGGTCGCTACGTCATAGGTGATAACAGGCGCTATTGGTCAGCACGCTCCGCGCACCAGTTCAAATCGTCAAGATATTGTTATAAACCTGTTTTTTTGTTTATATACCGTCATTGAATTATCGCTAAGCAAGTTACTGTGGAGCAGTACGTAAGGAGTCGGGCTAGAAAGCGAGAGACCGGAGTTCGAATCTCGGCCGGGACATAACTTTTTATTTATTTTTTTAAATACTGTTGTATTCTATAGTTTATTTTTGTAGTATAAAAAAAGAACTATTTACTCTGTTATTTTTTAATCTCCGTTATTAATATAAATTGATTGTTGGTACAATACCTCATTTAATATAAAATAATATTCTACTTTTTGAAATGTATCGGGCCCTAATTGTACCTAAAAGTAATATATTTTTAGTGATATACCATATTGTAAACTATTTAATATTTCAGTCACTTAAAAAGTTAATTTGCATTGAATAATTGTCTACCATTAAAGGAAATTTGAGCTATAATATAATCCTCGATGGGCATATTCTGGGTATGCAAATACTTCCTCTAAATTTTGGGTGTCGTTCAACCAATTTATTCTCAAAACCTGAAACATCTACATATAAAAAGAAAAGCACAGGTCACTAATTATAATAAACTTCACCCTTGGAACTGTCCTCATGTGAATTCAGAGGCAATGAACATGAAAATTATTTACCATAAACATCGCAAACTAAAAACCTAATAAACAATTTTATACCGAATATAGAAATAAATTTAGTATTCTTACCTATTATTATCGACCAAATCCATGTTAATAGGTAATTATTATTTTTAAATATATTTTTGGAACTGCTGGTTTTAGTAATTTTTAAATTAAATGAACTAAAAAGTCTTAAAAATAAACAATTCTTAACCATAATATCTCTGATATCTTTGATATTTTAAATTAAATTAAATCTCTTTGGATCGTCCCTCGTGTCGCGTCGTATATTAAATTTTGAATGATACACGTTCGATACGAACTTTTTAATGAAACATGTGTAACACGCGTTTCATTATGATGTTCGTATCGAACTTGTATCATTTATAACTATAAATTAAATTACCTTTATAATTTCCGATAATTCTATATATACTACTGTGGTGTATGTATATTTATTTATTTTAGATGATATAAAGTCAAATAGTGT